TATTATTATTATTATTAAATGTATAAATTATAAAGCTTTAACTGTTAGCCGTTATTTTGATACATAAGCTAGCTAGCAATTCTTCTGTGTTAGCAAGCGAGCTAACGTTAACCAGCTAAAACCCCAATGTGACGATATGTTCCACTAGCTTCGCAGTGACGTTAGTTTTTTGACTTCGGACTTTAACGTTTTGTTTGTCTCATTTTAATTTTGTCTTGTTTTTCTGTTTTTCTTTTCCATGTTCAGAGTAAATATAAACAAATATTAATGTTTTTAAGTTATGGTACAGTCTGATTAATGCATAAAAATAATATGTAACTTGTGAGCAAGGAAATAAATCAAGTGTTCATCATGTTTTTCAACCCGTAACACGTCCGTTGAAATCGGGGTTAATGAGGTCGAACTCGTCAGAACAAAAGACGATCAATATTAATGTTTGACTCAGTTAATGGATGAAACTTGGTGACAAACAGAGAAGATTTGTCCTCATTTGAGAACAAAATAAGCTTCAATCTGCTGTTTGGGGATTGTGTTTGTTCCTGTTGTTGTTGTTGTTGTTGTTGTTGTTCTGAACCTGTGTGTAGTTGTGTGTGTGTGTGTGTGTGTGTGTGTGTGTGTGTATTGATCTGACTGATCTGTGTTTGTTTAGATCGCGATCGATCAGCGGAGCGTCCTCCGGTCTGTCCACCAGTCCTCTCAGCAGTCCCAGGGTGAGTCTCCGTCCTTCCCACAATGCACCTCACTGGCTGGCCTCCGCTGGTTAATGCTCACACACACACACACACACACACACACACACACACAGGAAATGTAGGAACTGATCTGATAATTCTGGTGTTTTTGTATATTTTAGTTCATTAGATCAGCTGTTTGTTATCGTACCTCCACAGTCCGGTTCCTCTTTATCGATAACAGTTAGTTTGAATTTATTTCAAACTTCATATTATAAAGTTTTACAGCTGAACTTCACATTTTTAGGTCAGTTTGAGTAGCTAACTAGTAAAACTCTTAATTTGTTATTTAAAGCTGATACTTTAGGTCTTTAATGATTTTTTGCTAATGCTAAAAATTTCAAATTTTAAACAATTCATCAATTTATTTTTACTACTGTAATAATTGATCCATTTCTTTTAGCTTTGTCGCTATTACAGTTATAGGACAAATATGGACAAATATAATCTAAATAAAAATATTTGGAAGAAAGTGGAAAGAAGAAAAGTATAATTAGAATAATGTTCAGGAGGTTTTCACTGAACTTTATATTAATGAATAAGAATAAAGTGGCAACTGACTGTATTTTAATATCTTTTAAAATAATTATATAATTACAGTGTGACAGTATGTCTAAAAATGTAGCTCTAACTCTATAGAGCGACTAAAATACAGGTTCAGACTTTATATTTTATCCCTTAAACTTTAGTTTTACCGTCATTAATCGTTAAGTTTGTGGTGAAGTTCTGACACAGCCGGTTGTGTAATAATGAAGAAATAAATCAAAGGCTGGATTGTCTTGATTTCTGTCTGATGACAACAGATTTCCACAGCGAGACGCTTCATTATCACGACTTTGTTATGTCAGATTAGTTCCACGCGGCCGCCGTTCGTCCTCACATCGAGGTCGACCTCGATGTGAGCGGCTGTGCTGTAGAGCTTTAGATGAAGCGGGACCAGATCCATCGGCGGTCAAAAACACCATATCCTCCTTATCGGTCCATTTTTGATTAATTATGTGGCGTTTACAAAGTCATCGCGCCTCATGCAAGAACATTTTATAAACCTTGAATTCAATAAACTTTACTTGATGAACCTGTTCATTAGCACGTTTCATCATAACTGATGGCCTCAAATAATTTGTGCTCAGATATTTTATTTAGAAAAATGTTTAGAGTAAAATAGAAGTTAGTAGTACTAGCTACACCTCGGCCCCGCTGTCACCAAACTGTCCCAGTCAGTTGCACACTCACGGCAGCTACATTAGCAGTTAGGGACGTCAGAGGGAAAACCAGACAATATTCTCTCCATAAAATATGATCCAGTTTCACCCAAATCACTGGTAAAGTTGTGTTTGTACAGTAATCAGTGAGCTCAGATTGATTGACGAGTGAATGTCAGGATATTATTGGTTGAAATCAGTTAGTTCATGCTGTGAGCACGCGTCACATTTTGGATTCTGATATAAAAACACAATTTCTTTTGTGAATGTTCTTGTCGTTGTTAAATATGTGAACAATATAACTGAGGATGTGATTTTAAAGGGTTAAAATGACATTTTCCATTCACACCTTGACACCGTCCGCTGAGATAACGGACAGTTTCACCTCATGTAAAGTCCTCACATGCTTTCTGATGCTGTTCTGAGAAGAGACTGACTGTGTTTATCAGATCATTCATCCCACAGCATTGTGCATCAGCACTGTGCATGAACTCTGGCTGCTGTCCCGCTGGAGGGCGAAGCTAAAGCCGTTAGCTTTCGAGCTGGTTCACTTGCTGGTAATCAGGGATGCACCGAGGTATCGGACAGCGATCACCAACTAAAGTCCAGATGATTCCCTGGTTTTAAGATGTGTCAGGGAAATAATGTAAATTTAACACATTCATTTAGAATAATTGTACAAATAATGTTATAAAACGTAAATATTAACATATCATTTAATGATCTGTTATGTGATTGGCTTAAGTTCAATAAAAAAAGACTTTAATAATAAAAAAATAAATATTTTAAGAATTGGAAATAAAATTTAAATATTTTATATATATTTATATTTAATGTTTTACTAATGTGCCGCAATAATATTTGTTGAGTTCAAATATCTTCATTTGGAGGATTTTCCAAGTAAATATATTTATATATGTGATTATCTGCGATTAAACTCCAGATCCGACCCTAAAACTAAAGATTTTAATTATTGATTCATCTTATTAGTCCATGAAATATAAAAAAAATGTGAAATGTCGACAATGCAGAAATATTCAGAAGCTGAAATCTGAGAATTTGGACAATTTTGCACAAAAAAATGTGATCAAATATGATCATTCTAGTTTACATTAGTTGATTATTGATTAGTTGCCAACAATTAAATGAATCACCAGCTGTTAGAAAACATAAATTCCTGAATGCTGTCTGACTTTATTAACATTTATTTGCAACATTTTGTTACCGAAACATTGCAAATAAACGTTTTAAGTCAATCTATTTACCTATTTAGTTTAGTTTCTATTGAAATCAGACGAGTAGCTCTAATATAAATAAATCACTTCCTGGTTTCAAACTTTCACCAAATGTAATATCTGACAGAAAATAATAAAAAGCCTCGATATAGGAGATAAAGACGGATGATATGTGTCGTTGTTTTACCAGTGAGGACCGATGTGATCTCGGTGCATCCCTCTGTTAAAGCTCCATGAATGCTCCACTGCTGCCTCCTGATTGGCTGATCACTGATCCACTGCTGCCTCCTGATTGGCTGATCACTGTGCTAATTGCATGTTCTGTTTTTCTTTCTTTCTTGCACTCTCACCACTTCCTGCCTGCTCCACCTCTCAACCCATCCGCCACGCTCCTCTTTTATTTCCTGCTCTGTTATTTTTAATTTTTTAATTTTTAAATGGAATGATATCGGCCCCGCGGCGCCTCCCTGTGGGCCGTGGTCGCGCTCTCTCTCTCCATTGGCTGCCGTCATGTGTTACGTGCATGAACCTGACCAAATCGCAGCGCCCACCGGCGTTTTTCATCCCCCGCCCCACGTACCCAAAGACCTGTGTCAGTCCCCCCCCAGACTGCACCCCACCCCCACCCATCCGCGAGGTCCGCTTAAACGGGGTGGGGCCACGTACGCCCAAACCCCTAAGACGCAGCCAAAGATGGGTCCCCCCTCCATGCACCCCCGCAACTGCAGACCCTCCCGCCCAAGCCCAAAGTGTCCGAGAAGCCCTGCGACCCACCAGGTCCAACCCTCTTCCCAACCCACGGCCAGACCCCCACCACCCCCAATTGAAGCCCTCCCACGCCCTGCCAGCCTCTGGCACCCCTGCATCCCCAACAGCCCCCCGGGTGAGACGCCAACCCTCCCCTCACTGTCCCCGAAGCCTCCATCCCCTCTCGCCCGTGCCTCCTAGTCGCCCCGCCCCGCCCACCATCGTCACACCCTGACCACAACGGCAAGAATCGTCCATCACGCAGGTGACCCCCCACGCCCTCCCCAGAGGGAGCCCTCTCCCCACCCCTAAAGGCACCGGGTGCACAGACGCCCAAGAACCGACAGGCAACGCCCAGCCGACACGGCCGCCCAGCCCCTGCCATCGGGGGCATGCCTGGAGGACACCGGCCTCAACTCCCCATCAAGAACAGCTTCCTGGGCTCAACCCGCGCTTCCACCGGCAAAGGAAAAATTGCAAGGTGGGTGAGGGGGAGGAGGGCGGGAGGGGAGGGGGAGGGGGGAGGGGAGGGAGGGCGGGGGAGATTCATGATTATTCAGATGCTTTATGATGTTTGATCTCCCATTATCTGTGTGAGGATGGATTCAGTAGTGTGTTCTCTCCAAGTGGCTCCGGGGAACAAACAGATCAACTCTTTGTTCTTAATGGAGGTATTTAACCGGTTCACCTGCTGAAGCCTTAATCGTGGCAGAACAGAGGCCGCCGGGCACGCGCATACAAGATAACAATCCTCATTACGGGGAGCGAAACTCCTTAGTTTCAGGTGGTTTTACTAGCAGCTGCTCCCTGAGATCATAAAAGATAATCATTATTTTACTAAAGCCACTAAAGCTGAGTTCACACTACATTAATTTATACTTCTTTATGATGATACTTGATCAGTATAGCACTGTATCTTTTTATGATGATATTGATCAGTATACACTAGTATCTTTATGGATGATGATTGATCAAGTATACACCTGTATCTTTATGGATGAGTATTGATTCAGTATACACTGTATCTTATTATGGATGATATTGAATCCTGTATTTGACAGTCAGAGACTGTTGGACATATCACCAGTCTTTAGCATCGTGTTTCTAGAAGTTACGTGTTGTTAGCGAACATGTTAGGGAATTGTTAAAAATTGACTATTTCTTAAAGGGAAGTTTGGTGCAGGGAGCTTTTTAGTTGGAATTCAAAACTGCTGATATGGATGCATTTGTGTAAGTTTTTAGTCTCCACTACAGAAACACTAGCTAACTGATAAAGGCTGATCAGGTTGTCTGATGGTATTAGTTTGATTAATGCTTTAATAATGGGAGTATTGATTACTGATGCTGGCTGATCAGGATCATATATTATACTGTAAATCGTTGCCCTTTCTACAGAATACATGTAAGGACAGGAAGTTGGTGTTGATCAGAGAAGGTTTATGTTGGAGAGAAATCACCTACTTAACTCGGTGACCCTTGACCTTTTATTTCCACAGTTCCCACCCAGGAGGACATGTCCAGTCTAACTCCAGACTCGTCTCCAGAGTGAGTACACCAGAGTCAGGCTAAAAAAATGCTGTTTTAATGTAAACTAGCTGTGGACATTGTTCATCAAACATTTCCTTTACTCCATGTTGCTCAGATATAATCCATAAATAAATACATTTAAACTAGCTAGTTACAGTACAGAGGTTCACTGTGGTCTGTCTCTGACCGTCTCCTCCCTGCAGACTGGCTAAGAAGTCGTGGTTCGGGAACTTCATCAACCTGGAGAAAGAGGAGCAGATCTTCATCGTGATCAGAGACAAACCTCTCAGCTCCATAAAGGCCGACATCGTCCACGCCTTCCTCTCCGTGAGTCTCCTCTTCACATCCACTTTCCTTCAGTCGCTGCGTTTGTGGTCTTTTCCTGCTTTCTGTTCCATATTCGACACACTTTAAGCATAAAACTGACAATGTATCAAGATAAATAAACTGATTTATCAGGGAAATCCATGTAATATATCAAGTATGTGATCATATGTGTCTCTCGAGATGGAAAATTTACATTTTAGATTTAGTCCGAAGGCGCTGTGTGTCTGTGAATATGCTAGTTGGTGTATTTTTCATTTTATCTACGTAGAGGGGGAAACTCTTTAGCATTTAGCATTACCCTAATGAAACCCTCACTGCTCTGTGGTACGAAGCTGCTGCAATCATTAGCTTTCTAGCATCAACTCTTGTTTTGCACCTTGGCTGTTGGATCCAACAAACTAACACAAATAAACTTGATTAAAAACTCATCTCAGCTCAGTTAGCTAGACAGCTGTAGAAGTCTAAACATTTTAAGCATTTGTGTAAATGGTATAAATACAAAATGCTGCGTTTTTTATTATTTAACACGGCTGCTAACAAAACACTGGTAATGTGGCTCGTGAAGGTGGAGAGAGGTAGCTAGCTAATGCTTATCACATTTGCTATGTTAACGAGATAGCTAGCCAGCTAGTACAATCAGTAACATATGTACTTTTTCCAAATACAAGTCTTTTTTTTATTGAACTTAAGCCAATCACATAACAGATCATTAAATGATATGTTAATATTTACGTTTTGTATGAAGCCTTGTTTTGGCAGATTATTGTTACTGAATTATGCTCAAAACTTCCTGTATGTTTCAAATTAAAAGCCCTCTAGTGTTGGAGTGAAGGCCTTAATTAAAGGCTTTTATTGTGAAACATTTGCAGGAAAATGTGGAAAACTCTGCTTTATGGGATCTAATGGTGTTTGGCTTAATATCAAACATTTTGACGCAGTCTGTTGGTTTTTTTTCTTCCTTTAAAGGATAAAAGTGTAACATCAGTGTGACTGTAGTTTTCTGTTCAGTCTTCCTGTGGACGGTTGTCTGTTCACGTCTCATCGGCGCCGGCGCTGACGCTGCAGAACACCGTGACACGTTCACATGTAACACATCTGACGCGCCGTCTCCTTCTGCTGCTGTCTCTCTCGCTCACATCCAGGCCGCCGTCTCCAGCGATGCAGAAGCTGTTTGTCTGTGTTGTTGCTGACTCAGAGTCTCTGTCTCCCTCCCAGATCCCCAGTCTGAGCCACAGCGTCATCTCTCAGACCAGTTTCCGGGCGGAGTACAAGTCCACAGCCGGTCCGACAGTTTTCCAGAAGCCGGTCAAGTTCCAGGTGGACATCACCTACACCGAGAGCACCAGCGCCACCAAGGACAACGGCATCTACTCGGTCACCTTCACCCTGCTGTCAGGTAATCGCAGCACATACAGCGACAAAGGTCTGTCCATCTTGTAAGATCTGTTGGACAGCGGTAGGTCGACAGATCTGAACACTGACGGTGACGAGGAGTCTGTGGATGCTAATACAGCTAGCACGAGCAGCAACACGCAAGATATTAAACACTTTCGCTAGACAACTGAGCTAACTGGGCGAGAGTCGAAGTAATACAAGATAAGTCTGTACTTGAAGTCTTTGGAAGCATCAAATCAAATTGTTCCATTATTAAAAATGTCCCTGAATCGTAGCCCATTTAATCCAGAGACAGTATTTGATCGTCCTCAGAGATTCACCACCGACACGAATTAATCGTGTTTCTCTTATATCAGCAAAAAAGCTTACAAATGTTCTTCGTTACTCTGTTTATAAACTTAATATCTTTTGGGTTTTTGGACTGTTTGTCAGACAAAACAAACAAAGACTCTAAAAATTAACGCGCTCCGAGTTGCTTTCCTTCATAACAAGGTCCCAGCCGACGTTTCAAGCGATGTGGTGGAGACGTATCCAGGCCAGCTGTCAGCATACGACAGCCCGGCTCCCAGCCCCATGAGTATCCGTTAAGTGGGAGCCCTCGCCTACCCGCCCCCAACCCATCCTCGCTTCTCCTCCTCTTCTCTCCACGCCCTCATCAGCCTCAACCTCCCGCCGATACCTGGCCTCCCTCACAGCACGAGCCACGCCCGCGGCCACCCTTTTGTCGGATCCCGCACAGCTCGGCTCGGCTCGGCACACTACTTTTAGCACACAGCATCTCCAGCGTGCAAGTGGCCCCTGCCACATGACCATGCTGTTGCCAACGACACAAAACACACAGGACACCAAAATCTGGTATTTCATGTGTCATTTCACAGATTGGCCGATTACAGCAGACGCATCGATATCCTGCCCGCAGGACAGCTAGTTATGGGCCATCTATAATCGCCCGTAGCGTAACTGAGTACAAGTGTGGCATTACAAGACGGGATCAAACGATTAAACATTACTCTTAAAAGTACGAATATAATGTTGCATAAACATAAATCCTTTAATGGGTTATGATTTTCGAAAATATTTTTGGGCTTGCCTATAGGTAGGATGAACGGGATGGTAGAAAATATGGAAGAAGAAGAAAGAAGTTGACCGTGTTGTTCTCCATTTTGTCCTTGTGTAGTTCTGTCTGTTAGCTTGTGAACGGCTGGCGTTGTTGTATCTTGTGGTCTCATTCACTTCGATATCATGGATCCACCTCTAGATGGTGAAGTCAGTAGCAACTACACGCCTCCTGCAGTTACTGGAGGAGAGAACGCAGTCTCCTCTCTCAGACAATCACCTTACCTACCCAGTATCAGTCCCGGCAATTTCTATTACACCGATATTTGGATTTTTATAATATTGATTATGCAGTGATGTTCACCTTCAATTAAAATGATCACTGATCTTTGATCTCCAGATATCCGACAGTCTCCCAAATAACTATAGGCAAATTACATGCAAAAACTCACAGACATTTGCCAATTCTAATAATTTGTCTTATTTGGAAGTTATTTTCTACTTACTATATACTGAAATGACAGTCCTTTATAGCACCC